GTGTGCAGGAGGCAGCTGATCGATGTTTCTCTCTCATTGATGTTTCTAACTATCCCTCTCCCTTCCTCTCTGTAAAAAAATCAATTAAAAAATATATATATATTAAGAAAAAGAAAAAAAGAAGCATGGGATGCTCTCTCCTTCAGAGCCTTTAGAAGGAATCAAGCCTGCTGATCCCTTGATTCTGAACTTTTGACTTTCTGAACGGTAGAGACTGCCTGTTGCTTTAAGCCACCAGTGGCTTTGTTATAACAGCTCAGGAAACTAATACCACGGGTACGCTAGGACCAGAGCGTGTTGGGTTTTATTGGCCGTGGTGAGATTTTCCTCGTGGTTTATCAGGATCATCTTCAGAGGCGCAGCACTGAGAGCTGACATGCTGAGAAGTGAGCCTGGCCGTACCAGGAGGTGCTGGTTTTCCTAGTCACGTGCCATTCAAATGGCATTAAGCAAACACACCCCGGGGGTCCCCTCTGTGTCCGATACCGGACCTGGCCTTGGGCAACAGGGCAGACCAAGGCTTACTCTCTCTGCTAGAACAGGGATTAGCAAACTGTGCCCCACGGGCCAAATCGGCCCAAGTGGTTTTTTGCAAACTTTAAAAAATGAGATATCATTTACATAACATAAACTTTACTCTTTTAAAATGTATTAATTCAGTGGTTTTAAAAAAATAGTGGATTGATATTTAGAGAGAGGAAGGGAGAGGGAGAGAGAAACATCAATGTGAGAGCGAAACACTGATTGGCTGCTTTCTGCCTGCCCCTTACCAGGGATCCAGCCTGCAACCTGGACATGTGCCCCGACCAGACATCAAACAGGCAGCCTTTCCATGTCTAACCAGCTGAGCCACCCTGGCCAGGGCTAATGCAGTGTTCGCTTGTTCGTTTCGTACGTGCACAATGCTGTCACCACGACCTAATTCCAGAACATTTCCATCCCCCACAAAGGAGCCCTGCATCCTGGGCAGACACTCTGCAGAGCAGTGATGGCGAACCTATGACACGCGTGTCAGAGGTGACACGCGAACTCATTTTTTTGGTTGATTTTTCTTTGTTAAATGGCATTTAAATATATAAAATAAGTATCAAAAATGTAAGTCTTTGTTTTACTATGGTTGCAAATATCAAAAAATTTCTATATGTGACACGGCACCAGAGTTTAGTTAGGGTTTTTCAAAATGCTGGCACGCCGAGCTCAAAAGGTTCGCCGTCACTGGTCTAGAAAGACTGTGAGAGTCCTCACTGCCCAGCGTTCCTCCTGCCAGGAAGTGCTACCCTACCTTGTTTAGGCTTTCCCTACTTGCTAATGAAGACATGGCTTTATGACATCTGGTATTATTGTTTATCATGGTATTATTTTCCATATGAACAACTGTAGACCTGCGCTTGCCCCACCCTGTAAGTGCTCAGGATTAGGCAATGTTTCTGGAGAAGGGAGCTGACAGGAAGTTTTCCTAATCCCAGGAGCCTCGGAAGCAGGCACAAGGACCTGGAACCTTCTGGACTCTGACATTGTCCCTCATGGGCACTCGAGCCCCCTGCTTCTCAAGCCTTGATGTGCACACAGGCCACCCGGGGACCCGGGGACTCTGCACGTTCGGACTCTCTGGGTTTGGGGGGCCCGAGACTCTGCGTTTCTAATCAGTTCCCAGCAAGTGCTGCTGCTGCTGGTCCACAGACCCCACTTTCAGTAGCAAGGCCCTTGGGGGGCAGGGGGGCGTCTGGGTCATCATTTCACTTGGGGGGACTAGTAAGTCGTTGAGAGGTAATGTCAATGTCCACCTTAGGGATGCAGAGCAGCGTAGCCCCCAAAATCATGAAAAGTAATGCTTTTGGGGAGTCCTGCTGCTCATATCTCTCTTTAAACAGCATGTAGGTCCCTAAGCTAAAAAACAAACAAAAAACCCCAAGTCAATCCATGAGAAGCGGCAGCACTGGCCAGCCCAGTATGTCAAGGACCCGGTATGTGGTCCATCTCTTGCAGATCTCTGAGGGCTTTGCATCACCCACCCCACCACCCGACCCCACCCTTGCACACGGCATTCTCTTAAGCGAAACTCGTTGAATTCTTAGATGGATGGGTGACTCAGCTTTTTGAGGTGTGAATGCTGTGTTTGTCAAAAGTGTTTTTATGTACATGATCTTTGGGAGTTTGGAGGGACTAGCCAATTGTTTGTTTTGCTTTTAATAAAGGATGGGGGGGCCATTTCTCAAACTTTGGTTGGGGGCCTGCAAAATACAAACATACTAAGGCTTGACACTGCTGCTGGCTTCATGACCCCAAAGGAACTGTGGGTTCACACAGACAGGGGACGGTGTGATTTAGCAGCGAGGGGTGGGGGAACCTGACCATTGATCCAAGAACAGGTGCAACATGTGAGTGTCCTGAGCAAACGTAGGTTTGTGGGAGTCTCTTTGGTTGACCTGACCTGCAGAGAGAGGCCTGGTCTGTCCCTGCCACACCCCCCCATGCATTTTTAGAACAGAACCGTGGTAGGCAGAGTAAAGGCCCCCCCAGAGAGGGCCAGTTCCTAGTCTGTAGAGCCGACATTAGGTTACCTTCCGTGGCAAAAGGGACTTTGCAGATGTGATTAAGGATCTGAGATGGGGAGAGTGTCCTAGATTTCCAGATGGGCCCAATGTCATCACAAGGACCCTTACAAACGGGAGGCTGGAGGGTCAACCTCAGTAGTAGGGGATGTGAAAACAGATACAAAAGGTTGGAGTGAAGGGGCCACCAGCCCAGGAATGCAGGTGGCTCAGGAAGCTGGGAAAGCAAGGAAATGGATTCTCGCCTGGAGCCTCCAGAAGGAACCACCTCTGCCAATACATTGCTTTTAGCCCAATAATGTCATTTTGGACTTCTGACCTCCAGAACTATAAAAGCACACATTTCTGTTGTTTCAAGCCACTGAGTTTGCTGCAGTTGGTTACAGCAGCAATAGGAAACTAATACAGCTGCCTTATTGTCTCCCTGAACACCCTTGTCAGGCTGTCTGCCCTTTTTAAAAAAAATATCATCAATGTGGTTATTATACATAGAAGCCTACAGCATAGAAGTAAGGAATGTGGTCTACAAAAGCCTGACTGTTTGGCTTCCAGTCTTACACAGGGGGACCAATGCACCCCGGTTTGCCCAAGACTTCCCCTGTTTTCGCATTGAAAACCCCATGGCCCAGGAACCCCTCAGTCATTGGCAAACCAGGACGGTTTGTCACCCTAAATCTTAGCTGCATCACTTACTTAGTTGTGTGACTTTGAGCAAGTTACTTAACTTTCTCTGTGCCTTAGTCTTCCCATCTGCAAAATGGAACTAATGACAGGGTTGTTATAAGAACTAATTGGATTAATATGTATAACAGTGCTTCGCCCATCATTAGTGCTCAGTAAATGTTAGTGTTTATTATTATACTAGTGCCCTGTGCATGGATTCGTGCACATTGAAAGGAAATTAATTAGAATATTTTAGTATCGCTATTTGTCCTTTCTCTATAATAGAAGTGTCAGAGATGAAAGAAATTAGTAAAATGTATATGAAAATAATATATAAATTGACTAATAAACAATAACAACATGATATAACAACAACAAAGACATGATAGAAAAACAACAAAAACATGATATAAAAACAACATTGATAAAAACAATGACTGGTAAATTGATTAAACTTATTCTAATATCTCCCTGTATACCACATTGAGAGTAAAAACACTTTCAGAGTGCTTGACTAATTTCCCTTGTGATGAAATATTTACAACTTTAACTTTAACATCACACGCTCTTTGAACTCGAGAGAAAGCAACATATAACTGGCCATGTCCAAAAATGGGTTCAGGTGCGAGTATTTCTACTCTGTCTAGAGTTTGCCCTTGTGATTTTTTAATAGTCATTGCAAATGCTGGCATCACGGGAAACTGTCTTTGAATTAATTTAAATGGGAGGCCAGTGTCAGACGGGGACAAATCAATTCTTGGAATCAGAATAACCTCTCCTTCCTCAGATCCTGTTAATACTTCAGCTTCGATTATGTTAGGTTGCAATCTTTTGATAATAAATCTAGTACCATTACAAAGACCCCATTTACTATTAAGATTTCTCAGTAGCATAATGATTGCACCCACTTTCAATTTTAATTTATGACACGGCATTCCCGAAGGAGTAATACTATTAAGAAATTCGATGGGAGCTTTATATGTATCACACATGCAAGAGTCAATGTTTATTTTTAAACTAGAGGCCCAACGCACAAAATTCATGCAAGGGGCTCAGCCCTCACAGCCCCAGCTTCATCCAGAAGGACATCCAGAAGGTCTTTTGGCTGTCCGGTCTAATTAGCATATTACGCTTTTATTATTATAGATTGCCAGTGCACGTCATATGTACCGGCAGGTCAGACGGTCGGTCACTTAGTCTTTTATATATATAGATAAGACCAGGTGTGGTACAGAAATTCCTGAAGTTGCTTCATTAGGAAGGAGATAATATTCTTAAAAATCTCAGGCCACCACTTGAATCTTCTTTAAAAAAAATTTTTTTTTTAAATTGATTTCAGAGAGGAAAGATAGATAGATACATCAATGATGAGAGAGAGAGAATCATTGATTGGCTCCCTCCTACACAACCCCTACTGGGGATTGAGCCCACAACCTGGGCATATATCCTTGACTGGAATCAAACCTGGGACCCCCCATGAGCCAAACTGGCTAGGGCCGCTTGAATCTTCTTAAGCATTTGTCTTTCTTTATCTTCTTCTGATCACCAGGGAGCCCCTCCCTTCTCTCGGAGCCCATGAAGACTTGCTTCGTGGGGGGCAATGTGACCTTCACCTGCCTGGTGTCTGGAGCCTACCCCTCTGCCAAGATCCTGTGGCTGAGGAACCTCACCCAGCCTGAGGTGGCCATCCAGCCCAGCAGCCACTATCTCATCACCCAGAAAGGCCAGAGCTCCACCCTGACCATCCACAACTGCTCCCAGGACCTGGATGAGGGCTACTACGTCTGCCGGGCTGAGAACCCCGTGGGGGTGAGGGAAGTGGCCATCTGGCTGAGCGTGAAAGGTGAGTGAGCGGAGAGCTTCAGCTTGGTGCGTCCCTGCGGGTGGGTCCTGCCGTCTGGGAGAAGGCAGATCTGCTTGCTTGCGGCTTGACAAGACGGATGGTAAAGTGAGTGTCCAATCCTAAATCTCTATTTGCGTAGTGATAAGAGTGCTTAGTATCTGTTATATACCAAAGTTTATCGATCTGTATGTGAAATATATATACATATGAAATGTATAAAAATAAAAAATACAGTGTAAGTTGTGAAGCATAATGGCAAAATAAACACCATCCCACCCAAGAAACTGGTCCAACATTGCTGCAGTTACCGGTAGGCATTGTGCCCGATTTAGAAAACAACATCAAAACTAATAAGATGGGCCCTGACCGGTTTGGCTCAGTGGATAGAGCGTCAGCCTGTGGACTGAAAGGTCCCAGGTTCGATTCCGGTCAAGGGCATGTACCTTGGTTGCGTGCACATCCCCAGTAGGGCATGTGCAGGAGGCAGCTGGTCGATGTTTCTCTCTCATCAATGTTTCTAACTCTATCCCTCTCCCTTCCTCTCTGTAAAAAATCAATAAAATATATTAAAAAAAAACCCAAAAAACTAATAAGATGGGATACACACTTGAATTTGCATTTCAGAGAAACAAAGAATAATTTTAAGTGGTGTAAGTATGTCCCAAATGTTGCACGAGGCATACTTATTCTAACGCATTATTTGTTGTTTATCGAAATCCAGATTTAACTGGGTATCCTGTATTTCATCTTGCAACCACACCTGTAGGCCCTGTTTTAGTCTGATCCTGGCCTCCTAAAAAAAAAAGTAACCACTATCCTGAATTCCATGTCTTATTTAAGAAAAAATGTTGTTATGTATGTACACACTTCTAAATAATACTGCTGTTTGTTTTGGTTTTGAGTTTTAAGAAACGCTGGTTACCATACAAATACAGTCTTTTGTGACTTCTTTTTTTCACTCCCCATTTTGTCCCTGGGATTTATTTACGCCAGTGTGTCTCTTCATCGCTGTATAACTTTCCATTGTGTCGTTATTACACAACTACGTGACTGATTTTCCTGTTGATGGACGTTTGTGTTGTTTGTGATTTTTTCATTTTGTTTTGTTTTGATGAACAAACAGTGTTGCTATGAAAATGTTTTACCCAACTCCTGTGTGTACATGTACACTGGGTCCCCCTGGCAAATATTTCTCTAGGAGATGTATCAGGAATAGAAATGAAGGGTAACAGGTTATGTGCATTTTTATCTTTGGGGGTAACCAAATTATCTTACAAAGTGATTCTATCAGTTTCCATTTGTAACAGTATTTTATGAGCATCATTGTTCCACATTTTCACCAGGGCGCCTTTATGATTTTTGTCCATCAGGTAGGTGTAATATGGAACCTCACTGTGGTTCTAATTTGAATTTCTCTGATTACTCAGAAGGTCGAGCATTATTTCATGTATTTGCTGCTTATATTTCTTCTGTGAAATTCATACATATTTGTATCTTTTGCTGTATCTCACCCTTCCTTATAGATATGTAGGCATTCTTTAGAAATTCTGCATGCCAGTTCCTTGTTAGTTTTATGTTAACGGTATCTTCTTTCAGTTCCTTGTTGGTCTTTCTCACTTTCTTTATGGCATCCTCTGATTAGCAAACATTCTTACTTTAATGTAGATGATTATATGAACTTATTTTTATATCATTAACAATTTCTATCTTAAAAATCCTTAACTGTCCAACAATCACAATGATAGTAAATGTTTTAATGTTTTGCCTTCCACAATTAAATCTTTAATCTGTCGAGGGTTGATTTTTGTGAATGGTGTGAGGTCAGGATCAAGTTTTTCTACCCCTAACCCCTAATTTATTCCAGCACCCATTTCTCAAATAGTTCCTCTTTTTACTCACCAATCTAGCATATATCAGCTTTCCTTTTATGCATGGGCCTGTGAAGTTTCCTTTTATGTGTGGGCCTGTTATTGGATTCTCTATTCTGTTCCACTGATCACTGTTTATTGTGGCACCAGTAACTCACACTCTTAATGACTGTGGCCTTCTAGACAGTCTTGATGTGTGGTAGACACACAGAGATGTTAACTTGCCAGCATTCCTGTATATCACATGCTTCACTTGGTTCCCACACAGTCTGAGGCAGGGAGATGCGATATTGATCCTGCTTTACAGAAGGTCATATGCCTTGCCCAACACCATGGAACCAAGATAAGACTAGGGCCAGACAGAGGAGGGGAGCATGCCCGTGCTGGCTGCAGGCGTGCCGGGGGGGAAGAGTCAACAGTGTGATTTGTCTTCACAGAACCTTTAAACATCGTGGGAATTGTGGGAACCATCGTGAGCCTCCTCCTGCTGGGACTGGCCATCATCTCGGGGCTCATGCTGTATTACAGCCCTGTGTTCTGCTGGAAATGTAAGCTCTTCTCGGGTCCTGTTGCTTCTCTTTCGGGCTTTTTGCAAGGGTGTGGCTGGGGAGGACGGAGGCCCCTGTCGGGCTCCCACCGGAAGTCCCACCCCATAGGCTTCTGCATTGGGCCCAGATGTTCAATCAGCACCATTCCAGAACACCCTGTCTGTCACCTCCCCCGCTGGGCCGGTGTTCTGGTCGTCCTTCCTTTTGTAGATATTTGATTGATTAAAAACGTTTGGGAGGCTGAAACGGCTGTTCTTTGATATTAATTGTTTTTCCTTTCTCCCTTTAGTAGGAAACACTATCAGGTGAGTGCTCCCTAGACCCATGTCAGACACCCGTTTCCATGATCTGCCTTCACCGCTGTTCTGTTTCCTTCCGTAAGACCCAGAATAGCTCCTCCCATCGAGGACCACCCCTGGCCAGCACTGGCTGGGGGCTCCCCTGGGCATTATTCATAAACTCTTCCATAAAGCCTTCGGGCGCAGGTGGCACCTCCACTTTCCAGACAGGGAGACAGAGGGTCCGAGGAGGAGTTTCTGCCACCTCAAGTCCCACCCATAGGCTTCTTCACTGGGCCCAGATGTTCAATCAGCACCATTCCAGAACACCCTGTCACCTCCCCCGCTGGGCCGGTGTTCTGGTCGTCCTTCCTTTTGTAGATATTTGATTGATTAAAAACGTTTGGGAGGCTGAAACGGCTGTTCTTTGATATTAATTGTTTTTCCTTTCTCCCTTTAGTAGGAAACACTATCAGGTGAGTGCTCCCTAGACCCATGTCAGACACCCGTTTCCATGATCTGCCTTCACCGCTGTTCTGTTTCCTTCCGTAAGACCCAGAATAGCTCCTCCCATCGAGGACCACCCCTGGCCAGCACTGGCTGGGGGCTCCCCTGGGCATTATTCATAAACTCTTCCATAAAGCCTTCGGGCGCAGGCGGCACCTCCACTTTCCAGACAGGGAGACAGAGGGTCCGAGGAGGAGTTTCTGCCACCTCATCCCGGAAGTAAACGGCAGTGCTCGCGTTCAGACCTGGGTCTGACTGTTCCAAAGTCTGTGTTCCTTTTACAACACTAGACCTCGGGGTGGGGCAGGCACGTTGCTGGGCTGTTGTTGAGGCATAAAGACAGTGTGTTCCTGTCGAGCCCAGTTATTCATGCATTTATCTCACCTAGTTTTCTAAAAGGATGAATAAGCCACAGTCCTCCAGCTGCTAGTCTGAGCGCGCCTTGGAGCCCCTCCCAAGAGGGCACCTCAGGAGGGACAGAGCTACTAAGTAGACCGTGTGCATTTTGTTCCCCGAGGAGGTTTTGGGCGGGAGCAAAGGATTCTTCGTTTCTCTTCACCCATTAATAATCATGGAGGTTATTGCTCTCAGACCACCATTCACAGTGAGGGGATATTATTGCCTTGGGACCCTTTTTATTCGTGGGGACGATGTTACCTTTGCTGCCTGTGTTTGGGGACCCTTCTCCCAGTGAGTCTGTCATTCCCCAGGCTTCTTTCTCACAGGCGGGAGCAGTGAGGCAGTGGGAAAGGCTTTGGAATCAGCTGACCTAGGTTCAAATCGCAACTCTGCCTTCCCAAGCCCGGTGCTCAGGGAAACCCCCTGACCTTCTCTGAGCCGCTGTGGCCTCATGTCCCGGAGGGAGATGGTGAGGATTAAATGAGGGTGTGACGCTCCTAGGACCGTCCCTGGCCTGTGGCACGTGCTCTTCTTTCCTAAAGAAATGTCCAGTCTGACTGGGGAGGCAAAACCAGCAATAAACCAAGAGCGATTACAGGCTCCACCGCTGGGCACGGACTCCAGGTGCAATGGAAGTTCAGGACCGGACTTCAGGGGGAAGGGGAGGGCTTTACCTGGGCCCTAAACAATGAGGAGGAGACATTTCAGTTAGTGCAGCAGAAATGAGGGCATTGCAGGAAAGGAACGGAGCTTTTGAGTGTGTGCTGGGGGGGCGGGGGAGGGGGCCGGTCAGAGAGTAAGATGTTAGGAGCCTGGGACAATGAGGTCACCTTGCCCAGGAGCAGGGGATGAATGACAAATCTCACCCCGAACAAGATAAGGTTATTTGCACCCATCTGTGCTGTATCTCTCTGAGAGGTACAGTCACACTGTCACCTCCTGACGTAACCGAGTTGAATGCCAGAAGAATTTTCCATGTTCCCAAGGGGGGTGCAAAGAATCCCGTGTCTCCTCTTCAGCGAGGGCTGACGTTGGAAAACACAGGCCGTCTTCCTGACTCTCTCCCTTTGGCAATTAGGGGACAAGACATGGGTGACGTCATGGTTCTGGTGGATGAGGAAGAAGAGGTGGAGGAGGAAGACAATGCTGCAGAAGAAGAGGAGGAGGAGGAGGAGGAGGAGGAAGCCAATGAGAGGGAGGAGTTCCCAATAGAAATACACAAGCACAGCCACATCCACAGAGTGACCGCCCTGGTGAACGGCAACATAGACTGGATGGCCAATGGGCTCCCGCCTCTGCAAGGTGAGCTGTTTGCTTCGCAGCATTCCTGCTAAGCTGTGGGGAGGAAGCCTCTACTAGGTTTTTTGAAGGCTGGAGAAGACGGTTAAAGTTTAATCTGGAACCTGAGAATCCATTATCAACAACCAATGCAACAATTAAACTGATAAACGTCTACCAGCGGCCTGCCCTGGGAGAGGCACGGCGTTGGCGCTGTAGGAGGATAGAAGAGAAGGGCCACTACTCTCTGCAGGCAGGGAGCTTTGTGCGACCAGTTCAGAGCGAACAGATTAAAACGTGGGGACAGTGAAAATAGGCAAGACTTACCCAACACTCTGTGGGAGCAGTGGGGCACTGCCGCAAGGAGGAATTGGGTTGACTGCCCAATGAACGACTTGCTTACCAATCACAGGACCTCAGGAGAAAGCTTGGAGGGCTCCTTGGTCAGGAGGAGCTTAATGGAAGAAGTGGGCTCTGAGGCAAGTCTCAGGATAGTCCAGTTTGAATGAGCTGGAAGGAGAGAGGGCGTCCCAGGTGAGGGGGGGTCCGTGAGCCACGGGGAGGAAGGATGGACAGTGTCCAGCACGTCTAGAGGATGTTGAGCGGGAAGGACAGGTGGAAAGGGAACACACAGCCCGCCTCACCTGCTCCTGCAGGACATCCGGTTCCGAGGCTCACAGGAAAGGACCAGAGATCAAGATGATTGAAGGCTGATGGGGGCAGGTCACCTCTGTTGAGATCACCCCGAACCTGGTCTCCTTTTCCCTGCAGACGACAGCAGTGAGCAGCAGAGTGAGCTGGTCCCCGAGGAAGACAGGCCAGTGTGAAGAAGAGAGCTGTCCTGCGTTATCTGCCTGACGCGCGGGGGAGCCTCATGGAAGATGAGCTTTTCCTTTTGCTTTGACTTGACTTGCACCCCTGCCCAAGGGCCTAAACGGCTCTCAGCAAGCGTACACACACACACACACACACACACGTCTTTCTGTCCATTTTTTAAAAAAGCTGGTTTGATTTGCTGTAACTTTTCCTAATGATGCTAAAAAGCGTTGGGAACAGGCAGTGTGTGCGGGGGAAGCTGCCTTTGGCATCCGAGGTGCCCTTTCCACTGTGACTCCTGGCTTTATCCAGCTCGACTGATGCTGATTTGGGGGGAGCAGGAGTGGGAGGAGGCCCTTGGCCGCAGTGCCCTTTGCCACTCGTGAAGTCTGTAACCAGCTTCCCTCAGCACACAAGGGCATGGTGAGGGGGGACAGGGACACTTCCTTGATCACTGCCCAGTTGAGCCAAGGAACCAGGTAAACGGCAGCTCACTGGAAGAGGTGAGGAGGTGTCAGCGACTGATGCTGGTCAGAGGGAGGCAGTGTGGGCCAGGCTTTTGGAGTTGGGAACACCCAGGATTGAGTCTGGGCACTTGTTTCATGGGCTTGGGCAGGTTGCTTTCCCTCTCCCCTGGGCCTCAATGTCCTCATCTATAAAATGGGTGGAATCACACCTATCTGACAGGGGTATGGTGAGGACTCGGGGATGTGAACGTGCCTAAAAGGTGCTCAAGAGATGTTCGTTCTCTTCTCCTTTGCCTTCCCTGGTGGAAGGAAAACATAACTGTAAGTTGCGAGCTCCTGCCTGGACCCGCCGTTCTTCTTTGTGGAGTGGTTCCGGGCGAGGGCTTTCTCAGAGCTCTCCCGACGATGTTTGCTTCCCTGGAAATAGAATTGTTTTCAAAAGAGTTAGGGCCCCTAAGAGAAAGTGCCTTTCATTAGAACCTCACATTTTGCAAAGCTTCGTATTTATACAAGAGCCTCTGACATGACACTGTTAGCTTTCGGCCTTTCCCGTTCTTCCTTTCTCCCGGGACGTGCGAGAAGGCAGGAGAAGTGCTTTGTGAGGGAGTACCTGGTGGGAAGTACTCCTTGGGCAGACCAGCCCATCCGGCCGGGGATGGAGAGCTTGTTTCCATCTTCTCTTTAACGATGTTATGAAGATACACTGATCAACGATGCTAAGTTTCTAATGAAACTATAATATGATGGGTTTAAGCTGCTGATGCCTTCAGTAGAACCTGTATAGTTTAGAGATAACCCCCGCCTCCCCCCATCCCCTGATTTCACTCAAATATCTTTTCAATGTCAGGGGCCTTATAAAGGTGCAAAGGGTGTGTGCTAGGTATGAAAATCTGACTTGAATTTGCATTCTTTAATGTTGCACATTCTGCTATGATGGGCAAGACCTAGAGCTTAAAGGAGAACTTCCCGTCTCCAGTAACGGACTGGGACTGGTAAAGTGAGACACTGGTTACCTGCAGGTATGCTTGGGGTTGGTCTATTTTCCTGAAGGGACTAAACTAAGCAAGTCCCTAGAAAGGAGCCCCGTCCCGAGCTCAGAACACGGGAGCCCAGGAGCTGGCCGCACATGTGCACCCCTCAGGAAGAGCCGTGACCTCTGCAGTCGCGTTGGGCTGGGTCCTTTGCTGGTGGTACCTCGTGTATGTAACCACCCTACCCAGTCTAAGTCAGTGTCATTAACAGAACAGGATACCAGACAGGTTGCTTCTGCAGTTACTGAACACGGAGCTAGACTCTTCAGAATCTTCGATGGATCCCATTTCTGACTCTAAGTGTCTACTATGCAGAGGCAACAATACTTTTTAAAAAGAAAAGCAACTGCAGGAAAAATTCCCTAGCTGGGAACACGGGGTGATTTTCAAGATCACTGAGGTGTTTCTGCAAGTTCCTCTTCTCTTGCACACGTACCTGGTAGGTAGCAAATCTTTGAGGCAGAGTTTTTCCACTAGCAAATGGGAGCTTCAAGATCTTGGTGCCAAACACTAGAAACCCTTGACTAACTGAGCGGTGACTGCTCACTTCTGTCTGAGCCCTGTGTGCACATTGATATGGCTGGGTCAGTAAGAACCCAGGTCCTGGGGGATCGTCAAGTTTTAAGGATTTTTAAAGAATTGGGGCTTTTTTTTTTTTCTTTTAAGATGACCCATCCCCAATTGAGCAGGTCATTAGAAGCGAGTGGCCCATTGACAAGCCTGTTGACAATGGTTACAGACTCTGTGTGGCAGAGTCCGTATGGTCACATCACTCTGTACGTGCATTCTTATCTGCATGTGTTGTAAACTCAGACACCAGATCTTATCAGAACCAGGAAGATGAACATTTCAGGGCTATCACAACTGACACTTCTTTTTCTTAAAACCTGGTGGACATTGGGGAACGGGCTCCTGCAATGCTGTGGCTTTGATATTAGCCCCAGTTCTCACAAGCACATACAGGCCCTATTCCTGCAGCAGGAAAGCACATGATGGAAAGCACATGATGGAAATTTTCCACAGCCCATGCACTGACACCTGGGAAAGCCTCCTTGCTGGGTAACAGTTATGATGATGCAATAAGTGCCAACTGGTATTTCTCACCATGGGGCTGGCCGGGATCTGCTGCAAAGAAAAATAAGCAGATCTTCTGCATTATTTACATTTTAATATTTGATGTGGGGAGGTGGGTTGGGAGAAATTCATTCTGAGATTATAATGGATTTTTTTTAAAGATTATGGAATAAAGTTATTTTTAAATAAAAGCTTTAGTGTACTTGATTGAGACTTGATTAGTAAACTGAAAGATTTGGGGAGATGGGTTTACCGCCCCCAATGTTTTACTAGCTTTCCCACTGCAGGTGACAAAATTGTCCTGTGGCCATTTTATTCTTTTCCGTGGCTTGTAGGTACTACCCACCCTCTCAACCTACCGAGACACCCTCACCTTCTAAAATCTCCCTGAGAAATGTGTGCTTCCATCCTCTCCTCCCTGCATGTGCCCCTTTTTGCTCAGACTGCAGGCTTTCTAAAGGGCTGGACGTCCCCACGGAGAGCACAGAACCGAGGGACCTCTGACCACACAATTCCTAGCGGCCTTCCGGTCCGCCGGTCCCCTGGCTGTTGATGGCTTTGGAGATTGTCCTGGGCTCCGCTGGCTGCAGTCCCCAGTGGCTCACCCACCTCCCATTGGAGGTTGCCCAGCTCCTTTCCCTTACCCTGTCCTAGGCCTTTCCTCTTAGGTCACCCCCCGCCCCCTTTCTTCACTTCACTGCAAGCTCCCTGGCTCCTGAGCAAAGCTGCCCCATTCCAAACGCACTTCCTTCCTACCCAACCCACGTTTCCTACCGTAGCCGCCTCCCACGGTGTCTGTTCCCACCGTGCCTCCCCGTGGACGTGGATGAGTGTCTACGCCAAGACCCTCTTCTGAGCCCCATGGGCTCTGCCTGTTCTCCCTTGCGGGGGGCGGGGCGCATCCTGGGGTCCCCCCACGCCCCCGCAACTTCTCCGTCGTTGCCCCCGCATGTCCGTGCCCCCTTTTCTCCGGCCAGCGGCCCCCTCCGCACCGCCCACGTTAACCTCAGTCCCTCCATTCGCCACGGGGCTCTTTTCCTGGTTCCCATTTTTTAGACATTGTATTTATTTGTTTATTTTTAATCTTTATTGGAAGTATCACACAGGCACTCCT